TCGACACTTCAGCAACTGAGAGAGACCTCGGTTTGGAACCTCGGCAATTGAGGGAGACCTCGACTCGACACCTTGGCTGCTTGAGAGACTTACAACCAAAGGTAGCCGAGATCAAGCCTAATAGTTTATGTATGAGCCCCTGCAACGTAGGGTCCCCTCCACTAGTAAATACATTAAGTTGGAATGTGTACGAATGAAGGCCTGAGAAGGCAAGAAATGGAATCTAACAGTAAATTTGCTTATTTTCCTTTCAAATTACAAGAATACCACTCTCTACCAACTCTCTCTCTTTTGCTTTTTTTTTCAAATTACAAGAATGCCACTCTCTCCTACCAACTCTCTCTCTTGCTTTTTTTCTTTCAAATTACAAGAATGTCACTCTCTCTCTCCTTATAAATTACAAGAATGCCACTCTCTCCAACTGAGGAATACCTTAGCTGCTAGGGGACCTGCAATCAAAAGTAGTCGAGCTCGAGCTGAGCCGAGCTCGAACTTCTGAGCTCGAGCTCAAGCTAGACGACACCTCGACCAGAAGGAGACCTCAGCTCAGCACCTCGACAACTAAGGGAGACCTCAGTTCAGCACCTCGTCAACTAAGGGAGACCTCAACTCGACACCTCGCCTGCTAGGGAAACCTCAACTCGACACTTCAGCAGTTGAGGGAGACCTTGGCTTGGAACCTCGACTGTAGGTAGACCTGCAATCAAAGGTCTCACAAGCCTAATCGAGTGTGTACATAGGGTGTCACCTCGACACCTTGGTCACTGAGGGAGATCTCGGCTCAGCACCTCGACAATTGAGGGAGACCTTAGCTTGGCACCTTGTCAACTAAGGGAGACCTCAGCTCAACACTTAAGCAGCTGAGGAAGACCTTGGTTTGGCACCTCGACAATTGAGGGAGACCTCGGCTCGGAACCTCAGTTGCTAGGGAGGTTCAGCTGCTAGAGAAACCTGTAATCAAAGGTAGCCAAGCTAGAATTTTTGAGCTTTTGACTCAAGCCAAGCTCGAACTCAAGTCTCTATTTCGAATCGAGCTCGAGACTTGATGGAGCAAGGCGAAGAACGAGCCTCGCCAACAGAAGAAACAGTCGCGATCCCGACCTCACCTACGGACCCAGCTTGCGCACTCCAGATTGGTGCTTCTGTCAAAGAACCCCTACGGACCGAACTGGTAAGTTTTTTACTCCAAAATTTTGATATTT